CCCCTGAGGAGGAAGGAGAGGCAGAGACGACGTGATGAACTGACACACAACCCCCATTTCCCGTCCCCCCTGTGCCACTGGAGGGAGGAGGGAGAGAAATTGGGACTGAAGTTGAGCCTGGGAAGAAGGGAGGGGTGGAGGGAGATGTTTTTAAGGTTTGGTTTTATTTCTCATTGTTCTACTCTGTTTTGCTTGGTAATAAAATAATTTTCCCAAGTTGAGTCTGTTTTGCCCCTGACAGTAACTGGTGAGTGATCTCTCCCTGTCCTTACCCAGGAGCCTTTCATTATATTTTCTCTCCCCTGTCCAGCTGAGGAGGGCAGTGATAGAGCAGCTTTGGGGGGCACCTGGCCTCCAGCCTGGGTCAAATCACCACAGCAAATACCCAGGAACTCAGTGTTTTAAAACAAGCCTAGGTCCTTCAACTTAAATAATTACATAGAATGATGCATTAGAAAACATGGCAAGTTAACAGTCATTAAAAGATTTAAAAGAACGGGCACATAGTTATGCACATTCGTTGATTTTTGTCATTGTAATCATCTAGATTGATCAAAAGCACAAATTTAAGACAATAAATGTTTCACATCCAGAGCTTCTCTTTGAATGGGAGATAATTCTGTTGGAATAATAGCCATCACAGCACACCAATGTCGACTGCTCTATTGGAAATTTTCCTCAATATTAAAACATGTACCTTCATTCTACCATGAATTTATCTCATTTCACCTTTCAACAACTGAATGTCATTATGTTTCTTTGCTTTAATGAAATACCATCTACTACAACACACTTCTTTGTGGATATTTTCAATTAAGTACAAGCTAACCATTCCCCTGAACAAACTACATGGACTAGATACCTAAATTAACTTCTTATTATATGGAAATCCTTGTCATAAGCTCTCTTCTACTTTCTGTAATGTAGATACCACAACTACAGTACCCCACCAGTTCTAGTTTCACCAAAAATCTCCTTCAATTAACTAGCATCACCAATATAAAGCTATAAGTAAAACCAGGACATATATATTACTATTGAGAGAACAGAAAATTCCTTATTAGCAAGATGAGTATGAAAACACTTTAAAAAAACCCCAGGAATATGCAATACCTTATCACCCCCGACTAAAAAAAGGTCCACTGCAGCTATGTTAATGCCATGTTTCTCGCAGAGCCCAGATAGCACCTCTTTGATAGAGAATCCGGATTTAACAGCCATTTTGCTGGATGAACCATCCGGAAGATTTATACAGCAGTATTTGGGGGATTTCTCTTTATCTGGTACAAATGCAGGTAACCTTGAGGCTTCAGACTTGACAGGAGAAAGAAAGAAAGGTCAGCGCCCAATGGGAAACTTAGGAATATGCATAAACTTTTAGAGTCTGTACAAATCAAACCAAGCATACTTTCTACTATGTTTACAGTTTAGAAATCCTTCCAAATATCACAAATATCAGATAAATTTAAATTCTGAAAAACACCATTTATATAAAGATAACAGCACTGCACAAATCTAAATGTATTTCAAGAACAGACGAAGCTTTAGACACCAAGTGTGCAAAACAGGTTACAAGATTCTCAAACGATAGAACAAGACTCCTAATCAAAAAGTGTAAGAAGTAAATAAAATCATGTTTAGCTTCCAAATAGTTAAGTGTCTATACTCAATAATGACCTGCTGATGTAAAAATTACCATTGGCACATTATGAATCAACATTTAAGTGATGAGGAATATCTTTCAACATCAGGTTCCTCAAACAAAATTTCTTCTTCTTTTAACATAATCTGAACGCTACACATACAACTACGCCACAGAGAAATTAAATTTTTAAAATAATTCACTTGATGGCCATGCTTTTTTTTGTATTAAAGAGAACAAAAAGTACAATGTTATAGCGTAAGGCTAAAGGGCACAGTATTAACCTTCATTCTACAGTAACAGTAGAACGGTAACACTACTATGAAAATTCAAAAGTATATTTCAAAATTTTACAAAAAGCTCACTTATAACTTAAAAGGACACTACAAAAATACTGTTTTCCGCAGTCTTTTAGGGTACTCATCGTGCTTTTTCTCTTCTCTAACTTGCTGCTTCTCATCCAAATCACTGTAACTTTCTGACTTAATCAGTTAAGTTAAGAATTTCTGCAACAGAAATAAAAAGGACTGCCATGCTTGCTTCCGTGATCAATATTTGTAGCACAGGCAAAATTACACAGTTGCTAGAATCTAGTCTACTAGAGGGATATGAAGACTACAAAAAAAACTTTTAAAAATTTCCTTTTTCATATTGTTCCTCCATATAAATGCAGTTTAAATAAATTTAAAGTATTACATTTATGTTATATTATTAATGCTGTTTTAATTTTGCATTTCATTAGTATTACACTGCGAAGGTAGAACCTGATGGTTAGAAATCACAGCATCTTCAGTCATTATTTTTCTACATACTGTGACAAAATCAGTGCTCGCAATGAAATTCCCTCCCTCTCTTTTCTCAGATTTTAGGAGTAGAGTTAAGTAATAATGGCATGAAGAAAAACTCGTAACTTCAAAAGAAATGGAGAGGAAGGAAGCACAACAGACACTGGTACCACAACAATCAGCCTAACACAACTTGCATACAGGTCAAGCAGATGGAAAGCTTTAATATGTGGTTGTTCAGAACAGAATCTCAAAGCTCTGGCAGGTGGAAAAAGCTGTTTATAAAGAGTTGCAGTAGCTCTCTTTGAAAGGCAAACTTTTATTCTGGAAGTTTATTGGTGCCTGAAGTGAAGACAGCCAAGATGCAAAGGATATCTTCCTGTTACACAGACAAAATAAGCTGCAATATATGAACACAACCTCTGTTACATTTCTAGTATCCTAAAATTGCTTAATACTACACCTTACCCTCTAACTGTATCACTTAAAGACCCTTTCTCAAAGTAACACTTCAAACAAATGACTTCACACTACTTAGAAGATAAGTAATTCACTGTTTTCACTGCTTCCCCACTTCATTATTAAGAACTGGCCATTACCAAGTCAAGACTAGCAGTTGATGACATGGAGCCTTGTGATTCCCGTCTATATGATAATCCATTGGACTGAATAGAATCTGTTTGTGGAAAGAATCAGCAATCAGTAAAAAAGGCTTATTTTTAGTATAATACAGAAAGTTATTTCAAATATTAGCTCCTGTGGTCAGAAAACTAATTTTATAGATTAAAGGAAAAAACATCAAATCTTCGTAATGTACATTGAAGCACGGAAAACTGAAACAATATTTGGTCAAGTATTTCTTAGTTATGTAACCCTTGAATAACCCCACTTGCTTTTATATTTAAAAAAACAAACCTAAAACAATTCTTGTTTTTATATTAAAATGCTTTTAAAAAATAAAAAATTATTCTACCTCTTCAGATATATTCAAGGGAGATAAATATTTTTAAAAGTGCAAGTATGGTGTTAGAAAACTAAAATCTAAGACAATCACTAGTCACTTTCAGAAGTCTAAGTCTATAATCTTAGCAAATGCCTCTGATGTCTTTTCACATATAAGTATAATGAGAACACTTAAACTATCCATATGATCAGACATCTTGTGGGTCTGGGCCTTTACTAGAAAATAGAGAAGAAGAAACCACAGTAACAATACGATCCGAATTTGGTAATTCGGTGGAATTTCTCTGTTATTTTTAACCCAATGAAACGAGTTCATACAAAACTCTTCCTCTAGAGGCCATGTACATGTGCTTTCATAGGGGAACTCTTCCTTAAACTCTCAAAACCAGTTAAATAACAAAACAGCACACTACAAGGGTTTTCACAATTCTGAATCTTCTTTTTTCATTTTAGTCAGGAAAGGTGGACACAGGTAGTGAGTATGTTCAAAAGTGAACATACCTCTGTGGTACTAATAAAGGAAAGGAAGGTAGGATAATGCAGATGAAGGAATTTGTACACAGCTGTAACTACAGCACTATTTGCCTGTACAGCTCCAGAACTTTTCTGTAAGTGTTGAAATTATCTTACTATAAAAATAGTAGCGCTCCCCTTGAAAAAGCAATTGCCAGCACACAGAAATGCAGAGTCTACTGGAAAGCAGAAAAAAAAAGTCTCTTGGAAGTCAATAAAAACAAATTTAAATATTTTCATACTTTCATCTATTGATTTGTACATCTGCTTCCAAAAACCTCCCAGTGACACTAACCACACTACAGCCTTCTGACTTCACAGTTTCTTTTCCTTCTGTCACACCCAAGGATGCACTTAGACACAAACTAAATGCGATGAGGTTAGTCACATCTATTGCTGAAATAACTTTGTTGCAAAGTGGAATGTGAATACTCACCATTTGGATAATCGCCATTTTCTTTTCTCTTCTGTGATTTTCCCAAACTCTTACTTCTTGACCATGAGAAAAATGTTCCCCTTTTTTTCTTCTCAGTGTCCTCCTCTCCTGACTCTTCATTTAAAGATCTTCCTGACTTGGATTTACCACTTAACTATCACCAAAACACAATTAAATAATTGGTTGGATGACAGTTGTATGTATATTATCTAAAATAAACCTTCCTACACTTCATCCCAAAGTGAGAGTATGATGGTCAGGTTAGCTTTGCTTTACCCCACTCACAAGTGTGTATGCCAGCATCCCTCCCAGTAGCAATCAAAAAAAACCCCAACCTAGTGGAATCAAGAAATAGATAGATGGAAATATGCTGCTTGGTAAGGAGCAGAAAACTGTAGCTGAAAACAAGCCACAGAGAGCTCCTGCAAACATGAAAGAACTCTCCACAGCTCACTCGCAATGCCTAAGCTAATGTGGAAAGGCCATCTGCCTCACTTTTAAAACACAGAATTTCATTTTCATATTTCAGGTATTTTTCCCAGGCTAGGCTTGACCACAAACTGCATTTAAAGACAATGACAAAGCATTGTTTACCATTTACAAGTATAATGGAAGTATTTATTAGTGCTGAAGAATACAAACATCAGGAATGTTTGATATTAAACTAAACTTGCTTTTAACAAGCTATTATTCTTCTTAGATTATTAGAGTATTCCTTAAAATGCTACTTCTAAAAAGGTTCCTAGTCATAAAAATACATAATAGCAGATGGGCTGTGTAGTGATTGACATGAAAAATGCAAAGTCATGATTTACCCATACAATTATGTAACACTATGTTGGTATTATCTACATGAAGAAAAAATGAACTCCAAATAACATTAGGAGATCAGTAAGACTAGTGGTCTAATTTTTAAGAAACTGTACCTGTTTTACACAGAATTATCTTAGTTCAGTAGGGGCTAAGAAATTAAAAAAACTATCCTCTGCCAAGATGAATTAGATTAGGTTAAGCCTTCTCCAATAACTTCTCATAAAAAGTCTGCTCTCAGCAAAGGTAAAAATATCACACCTTAATTCCAATATTCAATCAAAATAAGCTTCTGAACTGATGCATTAAAATAATCTTTTTTTATCTGTACATACGTATTTAAATAATAACAAAGATTTAAAATTATATTCGGGAAGTCAATAGCTAGAAAACTGATTCAAAGGTATGGATTAAAAAAAAAAAAGTCTTTTCATGAGTACATAAAGATTTTGTAATTGTATTTGCCAGCACCACTTTGTTTTTTATATATTATCTTTGATCTAAAGAACTTGAAAAACATTATTTAATAAGATAGTTTTCAGATAACAACAATACAAAGGTAACCTTTTTCGGTGTTGAGATATTAGACTTCTCTGAACTGATACTGTGTTTAGAAGTGGGGCTGCTGGGAACACGCTGAGGATCAGGAAGAGGACGACCTTCTACTTCAGCTAAGATGCATTCTTGGTAAAGGGGGGATTTGAGAAAGCGAGTATAGCTATCAAACTTCATCAAGTTAAATATCTGAAATTAAAATGCAATGAATAATGGTTACAATAAGCTTAAATAACACATCAAGAAAATTGAAGCTATTTTGCAACAGCCAACTCCCACAAAATTTAGGACATTTACCTGTAAACAGCAGTAGGCATGACTTTGTCTAGACCTGGTTAAAACCACTGCACCAATTTAAAGTGAAACATAAGTTGATCTATTCCCTTAGCACAGGTTGAGGAAAAATGCTATGATGTGTGCAAAGTGCATGAGAAGCCCAGATGATGTGAAGTCTTGACAACACCATCCTCATAGCCATCTTTTACTTCATTTATGCTTTTGTACATTCTATGTGAAGTGTGTAGCAAGCAAGCTATTTTAAATATTTTTTAAAGATTATTACATCAGTACTACATGTGGTGTGTTTTACGGTAGCTGTGAACAAGAAAAAAGTTTATGGTCTAAAACTCAGGAATATGATATAAACACACTATGCAATAGTACACAATGATACAAGATACACAAGGTTAATTACTGACACAGGGAGGAACTTTACAGTATTATGTAATGTTCATGTGCCCAATCATAAGCAAAAAAAGAAAAAAATCAGTATCTTTGGAAGAGTCAATGATCAAGGTGCTGTAAAATCAAGACCTTGAAAAAGAACAGTATACACAGAAGGCTGCTCTGGGCAAGACCAAGATTTATCTTTAACTACACCAGAAGGAAGCAGCTCTATGCCAGGCCTGGAGCAAATGTCTGAGGCTAATTTAGCTGAAGCTAAATTTACAAAAGTAAAGGAAGGTAAGTTCTTTCTTAAATGCTAAACAACCTTTGAATTTCTTGTTCCATTTTTGCAAACCTGTAGTTTTACCTTTGCATCCTCTCCAGTGATTCACTTGATCTGAAAGAGCAGTACAAGTGCTGCCTTCTTTGGACATGACAAACCCCCTACAAGCGAAGAACAGTATGTGCCATCCAACTGGTTATGGCATTCCCAAGAGTCTACAAGGAAGCCTATCACTAAGCCACAGTGGTCCAGTAGCAGATGGAAATAATTTTTCAGAACGTGCAGAGACACCCTTCTCAACAAGCATTAGCCCAAAGCTTTTCTGGCAAATAGCAAGATGCTGCAGTGTCACAGAAACCTAATTCAAACTGAATGCTGACTTCTACATTCTTGCCTTCCCCCCATATATTCCCATTCCCTCTTAGGTGCTGTCATGTTAGTTTGGCCTTCTAACAAACCATTTTCCATATGGTAAACTATGGAAAAAAATACTTTTGTAGGGTTAGTTTTGCCATCTTAACATGCTGAAACAGCTCAGTGCAAAGACTAAAGTGCCCTCAGTGAAACCCTGCTCATAAGGGGGAATCTCTCTCTCACGCTATGAAAAATACAATCTTTCTCTGACCACGGGTACGTACACCGGCAAAATTCAAAAAGGCAACTAGTTTCAGAGCACATGTAGTCTTCAGGCCAAGGCTCAACAAATTATTTAGTGTACACAACACACATAGTTTTGTTGAACTCAAAGAATAACACTGTGGTGTATTGCCAAAACAGTGTAAGATAGAGGAGCAATTACAAGAAATCAAAATGCCTCAACCTCAAGGACTCCCAGGTACACTGCTGATACAAGGTTATCGGGCAAATGTGGTAAGTGCAGCCTGCAAACACCAACACAGATGCAAAAACCAAGCTAACTGAAAAATACAAAATACTTCACCTGTCCTTGAGGTTTTTAAGAAAATGAAACTCAAAAAGGTTACACTCCTCAACAAATCACAGTATTTTAAGCTAAATGCAATTTGTGCTCCAAAATATAAGACATGATTCTACAGCACAGCTATCAAACATTAATGCCTTAAATGTAATACAGATACATGATGAAAACCAAAGCTTTTCAGAGTTGCTTCCTGTCACAGAATCTAGCACCAAAAGCAGATAAAATTGTTATTCCATGCAAGGTAGGAAGAATAAGGGAAAATATTACAAACTAAGAGACACAAGGAGAGTTACTGCAGATTAAATATACTTAATACAGCAAATACATTCCAATCTTTTAACTTTGCTGGACAGAGTGATGACAGCTTAACTAATTTACCTTGAGCTGACCATCATCTGCCCTACTATGTTGCTAGCCCACACTACATCCCAAATTTCCTATATTTAGCATTATTATCATATTAATTTACATGTCAATGACTTACGCTTATTTGGAAAAATCTACCAGATGCTATTTCTCATTCTTACAAAGGAGGAAAAGAAATATAGCTTATAAAAGCATAATTTGAACTTCACATGTAAACCAGGGTAGAAAAAACCCCCTTACATCCATTTTTACAACTCTACAGGAAGTAAATGATATTTTATTCTTATTTTAGGATCTTCAAGTGACCTACACTGACTTGCATCCAGAAACACTCGAAACAATGAAATCCTAACTAGGTATTTTGGCTGCATCCACACTGTCATATTACAACACCTCTAACAACAGGCTCAAGGGCAAATTTTTCGGGCTATGGACAGAAAGCAACTTCCAGCAGCATTCCCAACAGGCAGCGCTTGAGAGCCAACGGCCTCGGCAGTGCCTTCTAAGCCACTTCTGCAACTCCACTGCAGCCTTACAGCAACACTCCCTATTCCCCAGCATCAGATAACACTTATCCAACCACCACTTATCCACCACTGATCAGCACCCTTGCACTCTACGCTCAGTGCTGAAATCTAAAAAAAATCTCATGAAAGACCCCAAACGCAGAGCCTTTGCATTATTAAGATGGTGTCACCATCATGAGCTGAACTTTGAAAGTCTGTAGGTGTGTTGTAATAACTACACATACCTACGGTTCTGTGTTCCTAAGGTCATGCCACCCATCAGGACCACAAACTGACCTATTGCAGAACCACCACTTAGTGAAATCAAGATATTAAGGGCCATCAAGGCAGTTGATTACCCAGCACCAACCTCAGCCAGGCAACACATCATTAATACCTCACATAGCACACCTTGCTCCAAGGCTGTTTACTTTGGCAGAAGTAACTCTCATCCTGCTTCACCTCATTTTTCAGTGGGAAGAACGGGCCTGGCTGAGGGATCTGACAGGAGCACTACAGAGGGATTGATAATTTGACAGGCCACATGGCTGGGATTAGACCCACAGCAGCACTTCAGCATTTTCTCCCACCTTACGAGCCCTCCAACCTAAGGACACAGCATTTTCAAAGAAGGAAGAAAGCCTGCATCAGCCCAGCCACCAGACTCATAAGAACACCATCTGCTCCACCAAACAACTGGGACAGGATGAAGAGGACTTCAGGCATGGGCTCCACAAAGCCAAGATGAGTAATGCATGAAAAAAACCTCAGGGAAGACGATGGCTGGTAATCCCCACAGAAACCTCAGGTGCACGGGGGGCCAGCTGTAACGCTAGAAGCTACCAGACGAGCAGTTAGACCTACCTTTCTATCTCCACTTCGCAGATGGAGGAGGATCCTATACCCAGCTGCTCTTCTGCTCCAAAAGCATGCAATCTGAGGTCGCACTAAGACTGTGACACGCTTCCTTTATGCAATTAAAGCTATATCCTTGACTTCGAAACAACATGATCTCAAAATTATTTCTACTAATAAATTATTAGGGTAGGAGTTACCAAAGAGATTACTTAGGAGAAAAAAGAAGAAACTTAAATGCTACAGAAAATGTGAAATGTATCCTGTCATTACATAACTGTTCTGAACATCAAAAATTATTTAAAATGCATCCACTTCAGAGGTCTTCAGATACCAACAGTTTTAACAAGCTCTTTGTTTGACAGTTCTATAAATCACAAGGGAAGGACACCTACAATACAACAGACATATTTTACAAACCACTTTAACCAAAATTAGACACTATTTGTGTACACAATTGTCCACTAAAGAAAAGAATAAGCAACCATATGCAAACACCATATGCAACGTTGTTGCACCAAATGGCATTATTTACTTGCACTAAACCTTCACTTCAATAATGGGATTTTTCAGATTATATTTTAGTTAATATTGATTTTCCACACATATGCAAATGTACAGAAAAACAGTCAAGCAGCATTCCATTATACAGCCTCTTTCTATTCTGCTAATAGAATCTATATGATCTTGACTTCTCTGTCTTTTTATGCACAGTAAAGCATATAGGACGTGAAACTACTTTTAGATATTTTAAAGCACTTCAGAGGAAAACATAATATACATAAATATACAACAGTCATGTTTTCTATGGTTACCTGAAGCTGCTGTTCCTTGAACATATCTGGATGTGGAGAATTGAGAATATCATCTGCCAGCTGTGCCTGGCTATCAATATTAACTGGGGTTGTAGCCTTGCTACACAAGAACTTACTGAAGATCTCTCGAGCTCTGTAAGAAAGCTACAGAAAATAAATGCTAAATGTATGTTTGCTTTGCAAATGTATTTTTATACAGGTATTTTTTACACTGATATATTCCCCACAAAAATATACAGCCACTCCAGTTTCCTTAATATATAAGCATTTTTCATTTAATAGCTTTTGTTAGTTTTAGGAATATAAATAGGGCTTTTCCTTTAAAATTACGAATATTCATCAGATATATCTTAAGCAGTAAAAGTTGCCATCAAAATAAAATTTAAAATAATCAAACTATGAAAATAATAAAGGTGAAATACATCAAATGCTGTCTTATGAAGGATAATCAATTTTTTTTTAGATTTTAGACCTTTTACGTAACAGTTACTATTTAAATAAATATGCTTCAATTTCTAGAAGTTAGAAAAATGTAAACAGATATTTGAATATTTACTGTTAAAAATACTCATGCTCTATTTTTAACTTGTTTACTTTGAAAAACCTATGTTCTGGAAATAATGAAAAAACCCCCACCAAACTGAGCTCAGAGCCCTTAAGTGAGGTGTTCAGAAAATGCATTGTTCAAAGACCAAAGAAAGTGGGGAAAAAACCTCAACGGTTCACAAAAGATCAAAGGAGAACTTGGTAGATGAAACCATTTCCACAGTGTTCACCTGACTAGATTTGGCTGTGGTGTAGACAGAAGCGTTGCCGACCAGCACAAAATTCAAAATTCACCAAAACTGCCTGACCAAAGTAGGAGTATCCTAAAAGAATGAGATGTGGACTTTCATAATTTGTGAAGAAACATGACTACGCTTACAGCAGCAAATATATCTAAGTTAGTTATAAACACACTATCATGGCTAGTGGAGGCAGCCTAGCTGAAAGAGCCCAACAGAGGCTAATTTTCACTTCTCCTTGACAGGTTCAATTAATTTGCTCTGCACTTCCTTGCACTGGGCTACTGCAGCCAACCATTTTTCAACATCCAGTATACCTTAGCTTATTTTTACAGAGCTAGCTCTGCACTTCACTGCAGCCTAAATATATCCAACATCTTAAACTGATGTCACAGTACAAAGACCACGCATAGCTCCAATAATTTCAATAATCTTGAAGAAGTAACAATTTTTAGTAAGCACCACCATATATTGAAATATAGCATTGACCCACCTCTTTTTTATCATGTGCAGGTACATGGTTAAAATATTCACAGGCCTGCCAAAATAAAATATTTTCTTCACTAAATTCTTTCCGTAGAAATTCCTAGGGGAAAAATAAACAAATAAATAAATGTCTCAAAGAAAAGAAGTTACTTCCATTTCAAACAACTTATTTATAATGCTTGATAAGAATATTAAAATTTGCATAATGGTAACATTTCATTCAGTCTCGCAGTCCAGTTTTCTCCTACAGTAAAAATCAATGCCAATATATGCCTCGTGCTTCTCCTCTTTCTCATTTCTTTTTAAACATATACAATTGAGAAGAATCCATCAAGTTACAATCAAATCATTTGCATATACAAAGATGAAATTTGAAACTGTGTGTTAAGCAGTGTATAAATTAGTGAATAAACTTTTAATAAAAATTTAAATTATTTATAACTACATTTAAAAATTACACTGTAAACCAGCTGTCTTTAATTGCAGTTCAACTGCAAATATAATAGAGTAGATGTTTATCAAGTAGTGCCCGTAATCAATTCTGTATTCATTACAGAGTCTTTCTGCATCACATGGCAACTACAAAAAATCATTTATCACTGCTTGCTGATGTGGTTACATGGGTTCTCCCTGGAAAATGCATTCTTAGAAAAAACATAATCTCCCAGTACAACATGCAATAATCAGGACATTCATATTACAGCATCCAAAGGTCCAAGTGAAGACTGGGACCCCATTTACTTGGGAAATTGTACAACCACAAACTGTCCCCGATTCAAATCTGTATCATTCAATACTCTCTCAGCACACATTTCTTGAAAGTATTTTAACCTTTGGGGGGTGGGGAGATATTAAAAAAATTATCTAGGCATTCATGTAATCAGAAAAATGCTTGTTTACACTTTAGAGTACCAGTGTTTAATTGGAAATTTTATTTTAAGTCGGCCCACAAGCCACAACCTTCACTCAAGTGTCACACTGGTATCACTCAAGCTTCTTTAACATACATGGCAGTCTCAGAAAGCGCTGCAGGAAGAGTCTTAAAAACTTAACTTCATTTGTGCTTTTAAGATTTACATAGAGTTTAGGGAGTCCAACTGCAAGAAAGCAATTGAGAGAAACTACAATACAGGGAGTCCAAATCCACCAGCAAGCTCTCAATTTAAAAGTTCTTCAGATACCTAACCTGAGACACCAAATATATAAAAGGTATAAAAGAGTAGTCAGGGGACATTTCTGCATTTTACATGTAGTTACACATTGCAGGAGAATCAAATTAGTGAGCAGGAACTGGAACCCAACTGCCTACTTCCCTACTCAGTGCCTTCACCCGCAATCTAAAGCCAATCTTGGGATGGCTTGCTTTCTGGCCTCGTGATTTGGGCACAGCTGGCTGCACAACAATTCAGCTTCATTAGAAAGACCAAGCGATGCCTCAGTTGGACGATGATGCCACCTTGCAGTGTCACACGCGGCTGGGAAGCTGGAGAAGCTGGTTTGAACCACTTGAGGAAGGAGCGTGCAATCAGGTCTCTCACTTCCTGGATCACTGCTTTCATCAGCAGACTATTATGCAAAATGTGAGTATTTGCAAAACATGCAAAATCTCTTCTTAGATAGCAATTCCTGCTCAGTGACAAAGCTGTCCTCAGGAAAGGTCTATGCATGCTGAATCCCAAATGCACCAAGATGCTTACTATGTAATCGTGAATCAAACGCTGATGCTCCAGTCTTCTTGAATACTGGCAGAATTCTGTAACTGCACAGTGTTACGATAGCCAGGTTGCAAGTAAATCTGAGCAATGGCTCTGGATCTCTCCTGGGCCTCAAGAAAATGGTGGTGCACACAATAAATTTCAACATTCCCTAATCGTTCTTTAAATTGGATATCTCTTTAACACATGCACTTTTGCAATGCTTATAAAAATAATTTGTAATTAGAATAAACTGTGGGGGGAAGTAAAACTTTCTGAATATCTGAGGTTGCCTTTTGCTGAAATGAAATCTAACTTCAACCTTTTAATCTGAAAATTTAATAAAATTACAGTAGCTATTTTCTAAGTTTTTAACATAAGTTTTGAACTTTCATAGTACTGAAAAATTACTGCAGCAATTTCTTCAGTGGACAGAAGTAAGTTTACTGATGGCTTACAAGTAATTAGAAAAGACAACTGTCAGTAGTGCCCCCACAAACTACATCCTTTTTCAGGTGGAATGTAACATCAGAGAAGTAGAAGTCTCAGTATCTAAGCAGAAATGCTAATAAATCTTGGCTACTCTGCTAAGAAAAATGGAAAGAGAGGGAACATAATATCCAGGATGTATTACTCTGCTTTCATCTTCTCTGTTTCCTCAAGCAGGTGTTCACTGTTAATGTGTTTTTCAGGTCCCCACACCAGTTAAGATGGAAGTCTGCTTATTAATCATTTTGATATTTTAATACTTTTGTATCAAGCAAAGGAGTCTCAGTTACTGCAGATTCCAATAATCTACATCTCCTACACTATAGGTTTCTTTATATTCTCTTTGTGAAAATTATTTGGGCAGCACAAACTGTCCTTGTGTAACATATTCACAATCAGTAACCTACTCTCAGTGCAACAATGCAAAAGTGTATACACCTCAATTTCCTAGAATGCAAAAGAGAGGTGATGCTATTTACTGCTTCATAAACGTGCTGCGCAGCTTAGTTTCTGCTTTGCAAATACTCAACACAATTCCTGCAAGCTGCAGCTTTAACCAGTGCTCTTAGCTACCTTAATTACTTCCAAAAAATATTTCTAAAAACCTTTTGCAGGAAGATAATCCATCATATCATTGAAAAAATGTTCTACATGGCTTCCAACATTCCAGTAGGTAAATGCGAATAGATTACTTAATAAACTACTGAAACTACTGCCTTTTTCTTACACAAAGGCTACAGATACAAATACGATAAAATGTAATTGTTTTACAAAATGGGGAAGCTTTCTAAAAGTTCAGATACACAGCAAAGCATAGCCTCCATTTTTATCTGAAACTTTTGCTATCCAGAAATGCATGGTGATATGTGTATTACTACAAACTCTTATTCAACTGTGAACCGGTTTAAACTTAGAAAGATGCTCAGATAACAACTGTGCAAGAATGAACTCCTACTTCTTGTCCTATGTAAGGACAGTGTCAAGAAAGAAAAAAGAATACAGGAAGATTACTGCAGCAGTATCAAGTATTTTGAAAGGCCTCTCACCGTCCCTCAAAACTTACTGAAAAATATTTAACACCAACAGGATCCTGAAGAAGACGCTCAAATGAAACAGCCCAGCTTGCAACTCTTCTTTCTCGAAGTCGTCGACAGCTCTGTACACTGGGAAGACTGGCATTGCTACTGAGGCTGTTTTCACTGATGCAGTCTTTTAAGTCGGTACTATTCAGCTCTGTTAAAAAAAATAAAAAATGAACAAATCTGTCAAGAAAGTATTATTCACTCTTACTCTTCAGCATTGTTTACTTGATTTATCACATCTCCTCTTCAAGCTCACTGTAGTGCAGACTTCAGAATATCCCTCCCCATTTTTATTAGGAGCACCTGCGTAGAAAAAACAACCCCAAACATCTCTCAATTTTCTTCTGTTCCACTGCAAAGAAAATTAAATTAGTGCCTTAAAAGCAATCCCCCTTGCCAGAAGCAAAAGGGGCAGGCACAAAAGGAGATCTTATTTCTTGCTCCACAAAATAAAGTATTTTGGACAAAATTTTCTGCTCACATTCCTCACCCCATGGACTGCACTCATTCATAAGATCATCCAAGGAAGGTAGAACCCACCTTCAGGAACCCACTGTTCACCAGAAAGTGGGCAAAAACCTATTTAGGGATAGGAGCTAGCAAAATTTCATATACTCTGAAATCAGTAGATACAGGACTCTGAAGTTTTTCATGGAAATAAAGGATTCCTGTTAAATACTGAGAATTTAGGAAAGGAGTCAACTGAGGAAAATAATACTAAGTAAAATGAGCTAGTAACAGATGCCTTCCTCATCCATGGTATCAAATCATTGATCCTCAATTTATTAGGGTTCCTGATAAAAACAGGGATCCGTAACTCCCTTCCAGACTCGAGCCATCATATTGCTATAATGTAGGGATCCCAACCTGAGAAATGACCAGATTTATCAGATCTTGAGAAAACAGAAGTGCTTTTTGAATTCTGAAAAACAAATCAACAAGACCCCACAGAGAATTCAGGAAAACACAACCTTGTGCAGCAGTGTAACAATTTCGAGCATTAACCCCAGATCATCTTTTGTCATGTATTAGTAAAAATATGCACCAAAAAAAATTCTTAAAGTGACCACTTGTTCATAGAAGTGGAAAGGTGAAAGAAATGGCTGATCTAAGTAAAAGAGGGACCTGTATACAACAGGGTCCTAGGCATAAACTTGTCAATTATTTGTTGCATGCCCTTTTACAAATCACCGCTCTCTCCATCTTGTTTACATCTCGTTTTACACCTCCATTTTGTTTACACAAATGAAAAACTGGTACAGTTGTACTCACAGATACTCAATTCACAGAGGTGCTCTGAGGTTTAATTAATTGGGAAGACACAATGAAATCAAGCCCTAAGCTACCTGGTCTGATCTCATAATGGACCCTGCTCTGAGCAGGAGAGGCTGCACTAGAGAGATGCCAAACTAAATGGGATTCTGTGATGAAGGGATAAAAAAAAGCAGATATTCAATTCTTTGAAAAATTAGCAGTAATAGATGTGAGAAAATTATATCCTCAAATGAAACAGATGATATCTTCAATAATTCCATGCCAAACTGAAAAGCAAATATACAGCTCGCTATAAATATAGATATAGAAAATGAAATATAGATATAG